GCGGCCCGAAAGGCTTCCGAGACTGCACCTGGGAGCCCCAATAGGCTACCAAGCGGGCCCCGCGACTGCCCACGACGCAGGCCATTGGGAACGTTTCGGCACGCCCGGCGCCCCTCCTGCAGATCATATTGGCGGTGGATTTAGTCGCCTTTGACGCATCCCGCCATCGCGCCTGGGTTGTAGGTGGGAAGCCTTTTGGATGCCTCGTGGGGTCCATTGGGAGGCCTCGGCCTCTTGGGGGCCTCTTGGAGGGCTCTTGAGGGCCTCTTGAGTCTTCTGTTGGGGGCCGCTCGGGGGCCTCTTTGTGGCCTCTCGCGTCTCTTCCGCGACCTCTTGAGTGTCTCTTGGGAGCGTTTCTTAGCGGCGTCTCTTGGGACTTCTGGGGTGATTTCGCGGGCATGTTTGGGGTCGTTGGCTCTGTCTTTGAGGACAGGTTCCCAAGGCACTTTGAGTGGCACCGCCGCCCTCTGAGGCCGAAAGCATTGAAATACATGTTTTTCTCAACGACGTATGTCCTAGTCGAACATTCGCAGTCAAAAGTCGCGCGACACGCTCCGACAAGCCCTGAAATTTGAGTTCTGGGCCCTGTCTTCCAAGTGTATTTACTATGATTGCATGCCTTGGACAATAATTCATACCCCCTCCCATCCTGGTCTTGATTGTCTCCGGCCAAGAAAGAGTTGGTCGGGGGGCAAGGACGACGAGGCCGAGCTTCATTCTTGTGGGGGAAAGTTCCGCGTCGGAGTTGTTGCCCCTTAATTTGAATAGTAGACCCATCACGCACGTGTGGCATGGCGATCGGAATCTCACCATTTCAGCTTTTCCCAGTCACGAACGTGTGGCAGGGAGGTACGAAGTTCTCACCACTCCAATTTCCCCAAGTCACGAACGTGCGGCAGGGCTGTCGGATATGCTCCTTTGTTTTGGCTACTACCGGTACTACTACTACTACTACTACTACTACTACTACTACTACTACCACTACCACTACTACTACTACTACTACTACTACTACTACTACTACTACTACTACTACTACTACTATGACGACGATTACTTTTTCGACGACTATTACTACTACAGCTAGGAATCGTAATATTACTATTCTTATTACTAGTAATACGACTACCATTACAACAACTACTATTACTATTACTACGATTACTACTACTACTACTACTACTACTACTACTACAGCTACTACTACTACTGCTAGTACGGCTACTACTACTACTACAACTACTACTATTACTGCTGCTACTACTACTACTACCACTTCGGCTCATACTACCACCATTCCTATTACTATTACTACTACTACTAGCGATAATTCTACGACTATTACTACTACTTCTAGTTCGCTACTACTACTACTACTACTACTAGTACTACTACTACTATTACTACTACTACTACTATCACCAATATTACCACGACTACTACAAGAACAACTACTACTACTACTACTGGTACTACGACTACTAGTACTACTACTTCTTCTACTACTTCTAGGTCTACGACTACTTCTACTTCTACTACTACTACTACTACTACTACTACTACTACTACTACTACTACTACTGGTACTACTGCTACTAGTACTACTACTTCTTCTACTACGACTAGGACTACTACTACTTCTACGACTACTGTTACTAGAAATATTGTTTTTATTAACGCTTCGGCTACTACTACTACTACTGAGTCTACTACTACTACTACTACTACTACTACTACTACTACTACTACTACGACTACTACTACTACTACTACTACTACTACTACTACTACTACTACTACTACTACTACTACTACTACGAGTGCTATTATTACTACTACTGCTACTACTACGACGACGACTCGTATTACTACTACGACTACTACCTCTGTTATTACTACTACGGCGACGACTACTACTGCTACTACTACTACTACTACTCCGGCTATTAAACATACTACGATTATTTCCATCACCGCTGATACTACAAAACGAACTATCTCTATGACTAGTAGTAGTAGTAGTAGTAGTAGTAGTAGTAGTAGTAGTAGTAGTAGTACAACTACTACTACTACTTTTATACCCTCCGTTACTACCACTACTACTGCTACTGCTACGACTACTACTGCACGTACTACTACAACTACCAGAACAACCAGTACTAGTATTAATTGTTCAATCCTATCACTACTTCTACAGCTACTACTACTACGGCTACAACTACTACTACATCGACGACCACTACTACCACGACTAATCTTTCAACTATTATCACTACTACTACTGCGACTACTACTACTACTACTACGACTACTACTAGTACTACTACTACTACTACTACTACTACTACTACTACTACTACTACTACTACTACTAGTACTAGTACTACTAGTACTAGTACTATTAGTACTACTACCACTACTACTACAACTACTCGTTCTACGACTACTACTACTACTACTACTCCTACTACTACTACTACTACTACTACTACTACTACCACTACTACTACTACTACTACTACTACTACTACTACTACTACTACTACTACTACTACTGCTACTTCTACTACTTCTACTACAACTATTTGTTCTACTACTGCTACCACGACTACTACCACTATCCCCGATAGCCCCCTGGCCGCCCCCGAACTTTTTCATCCCGGGCTTTTTCCAGCGCCGGAGACGGCCACCATGAGCTCCTGCACATGCGATGAAGAAAAATGCTAGGAAGCAATCTTTTTGCACATCGAACAAGCGCAATGTTTTGAACCAGATCTTTTGGGGAAGCTGGTCCTGGGGCCTCTCTCCTCTCCCAGCCTCCTCCTCCCCTCGCCTTCTCTCTCCTTTCCCTTCCACTTCTTGTGACATGTTGTATGGGATTCTGACACTTCCAGCTTTTCGAAGTCACGAACGTGTGGCAGTTCTGTGGGGTTCTCACCATAGCAGCTTCCCGAAGTCACGGACGTGTGGCAGGGTTAGGTCGTCGTCGTCTTTGTGCGACGACGACGACCTCCTTTTCCTTCTTCGAACATCCCACGTGCGACTTGCTGGGACAAATCGTTTAGGTATTATTCCCCTGGGACTCTGAACGTTCTTATTCCCCGGGAATTGTTATCGGGGGCATTCGGTTATTCACTACAGAGTCCTCGCAGCGACCTGAAGACATTCCACTCAGTGCCTCGTGGCACGGTGGCGGATAATGTCGGAGCTCCAGTATCCAAAGTTTGCCGAATGATTTCAATTCCAATCTTTGCTGTTTTTGCTAATCGAATTGCGCGTATGGAGATGCGTTGGTTGCGTTGACTTGTATTTGCGTGTTCCATGTTTGGTTATGCTGTGTTGGGAATGGTGATTCGGGAAGATGCCAGCTCGCGCGCTGATTGCTGAGCGCTTCCAGCACCGGATCTGCCGACGATTCCCCCGTCTGAAGTGTTGCCGATCGTGTTTGTTGCCGTTGCAGGCTTGCAGGTCTCATGGTTCAGCTCATGCGCGCCCGCTCTCCCTGGTCAGACCTGGTCTTGAGCGCTTGCTTACAGGCGGCCTGGATTAGTGGGTCGACCCTGCCAGTTCGAGGGTACCCTCGCGTCCCGTGTCTGGCGACCCCTGCCTCCTGCATTTTTGTGGCAACGTGGCCCCTGGAAGGGTCTTGCGTCCTCTCGCGGGTCCTCTCCAGTCAAGTCCGACCGTACAGCGAGCGGCTTGAATAAGGAACGCTTACTTTTCAAAAGGGGCTCGGTCGTTCCTTAGGCTTGCATGCGTTATTTATCGTTCCCTATGCGTTATGTATTATGTGTTAATCGTTCCCTATGCGTTATTCCTTGGAAGAAAGGGGCTTCGTTCCTCATTTATCGTTCCTTAGGTCAGGCCGATGACCGCACAGCTCACTCAGTCCTGCACGGTCTCGGTGCACCGCCCTTTCTCCCGCCTCTGCGGCCGCCCTCTCCTGCCTCTCGCCTGCTAGTGTACCGTTCGCCCGGCGGCTCCCCCCCGCGGCTGCCACTGAACAAGGGTTAGCGCGTTCTCTTTTATCAGGAGGGGAAGAAACACACAGACACTATTCATCGTCGACTCCCCAGAAAATATAGAAAAATATGGGAAGTGGTGGGGAAGACAAAAACCCAGAAAATATGGAAAGATATGGGGAATACTTTTATTTGTGTGTATTTATTTGTGTATCCCAGGGCCCCTTTATTTTAGGCAATGCGCTCTGAGGCTATTTGGGTACCTTTGATTATCAGCCAGCCTGGGTTTGTTGACGGGTGCGCGTTCGATTTGCTGTCGTTTGGGGGCCAGTTCAACATGTGGTAGCGCCTACAGGAGGATTGCTTCGGGCCGCCGCATGAGGCCGACGGGTAGGTGGTCGGGAGGGCTCTGCCAGATTCTCCCGTCCACTCCCAAACCCATTCCCACATAAGCGTCCCCTGACAGATCACCCGAGCTCGCCGGGTTTCGTTCAGCGCCTGGACTTGAAAGTGGTTCGGATCTCCAGAATGAGTTGCTCTCCCTGGGAGGGTGCGGGGCTCAACTCACGAGCGCCTCGATTGGATGCGCTGCCTGCGTTCTGGGAGTGGCCCCGCTCTCGCGATCGGCCAGGGCGCCAGGGGCGATCACCGCGGGCAGGGTGGGCCTCGTGGAGCTCCCCCACCGCCTCTGATCCCTGAGCTCGGTGGTCGCACGGGACCTCCAGGCGGTCGAGGGGTCCCGAGTCCGGAGCGATGGATGCTGACACCCCGGCTGCCACGGGCGTGCCGGCCCAGGGATGCTCAGCCATCGGGGCGTCCGCTGGCGCCTGTGGTGCCGGGAGCCTGGGCCCAGGGCGGTGCAGCCGCTCCTGGCGCACCACCGGCCTTCCCGTCAACGGGGTCTGGGGCAGCCCCGGGGCTTTCGAGGCCCAGCGGGGTCCAACCGCCGCTCCTCCCAGGGGCCCCAGAACGGGCGCAGCTGGCCTCCCTGGGCCGCTCGCGAGGCTTCGTTCGTGAGGCTCTTGGACAAGCTGTGCGATGGCTCCGACATCAACATCAATGAAACGGATGGCGCGGGCAGCGCTGGAAGAAGGTGGTAGCACCGGAGTCGAGCAGCGGAGATCAATAGTGGAGACGAGGGGAGGCAGGGCGTCATCGTCGCAGCGATTGGAGAGCATGTGCACCTGCATTCCTCACGCGCACGAGAGTTGCATGACGCGCTTGCCCAGCATGATGTGCACGAGCCTTCGGCTGCATTCTTTAGGCATGGGCACCGCGACTCGAGCGGGGCTGAGAGTGCAGATTGTTGTCGCTCACTGCTGGCGGTGAGAAGGGGCTTGTTCGGGTGGTGCGCGCGGCCTCGACAGACAGAGAGACATAATAAGAGAGAGAGAGATAACGAGAGATAGAGAGGGAGAGAGAGAAACAAAAATTATCCCGGCAAAGCAACCTAACAGCGATGTGTAGAAGCATATCTGGAAGCATTCCCCTTAAGATTCAGATGAAAATCCAGTTGTCGAATTCTGCTGTTCTCGCAGTCGTAGTCGCATTCGCGATGACAGTCGCAGCGGCAACGGCAGTCGCAGTCACAGCCTCAGCCTCAGCCTGCCTCAGCCTCAGCCTCAGCCTGCCTCAGCCTCAGCCTGCCTCAGCCTCAGCCTCAGCCTGCTTCAGCCTCAGCCTCAGTCTGCCTTCAGCCTCGGCCTCAGCCTGCCTCAGCCTCAGCCTGCATCAGCCTCAGCCTCAGCCTCAGCCTGCCTCAGCATCAGCCTGCTTCAGCCTCAGCCTCAGCCTGCCTCAGCCTCAGCCTCAGTCTGCTTCAGCCTCAGCCTCAGTCTGCCTTCAGCCTCGGCCTCAGCCTCAGCCTGCCTCAGCCTCAGCCTGCCTCGGCCGCAGCATCAGCCTGCCTCAGCATTCAAAATGTGGCCCAGGAATGGAGTTCTGGGAACTAGAAGAACACGAAGTGGCCTACAGTTGGCTCCGGGCATTCAAAATCATGCCCAGGAATGGAGTTCTGGGAACTTGAAGAGCACGAAGTGGCCTACAGTTGGCTCCGGGCATCCAAAATGTGGCCCGGGAATGGAGTTCTGGGAAATCGAAGAGCACGAAGTGGCCTACAGTTGGCTCCGGGCATCCAAAATGTGGCCCGGGAATGGAGTTCTGGGAAGTCGAAGAGCACGAAGTGGCCTACAGTTGGCTCCGGGCATCCAAAATGTGGCCCGGGAATGGAGTTCTGGGAGCACCAAGAGCGATTTTGCGAGGATGTCCCAAGCGATTTCGGCTTCGGCGGCAGCCGCCCCGGGTCCCGCCCCGACCCCCCTGTGGAGTCATCTGCTGCTCTCTTTTGAGTCCACTAGAAACCTATCAGCAAAAGCTGTTAGGTAATATAGAAGGCGAGAGAGAGAGAGAGAGAGATAGAGAGGGAGAGAGAACGAGGGAGAGATCGAGAGAGGAACGAGGGATAAACAACAAAAGAGACGGAGAGAGAGAGAGAGAGAGAGAGAAAGAAAGAGAGAAAGAGAGAGAGACAGAGAGCTGGCGGTCGGTGGTGGGCGAGGGCACTACTCTGCGGTATTCCCCTGGCCAGATCATCGGAGGTGACGGGTTGGCTCACACTTGCCCGCCGAGCCGGTGTGTGACATATTTCTTGGAGGCGCCAGCTGTCATTCCAATGTCTCTGATTTCTTCTGCGCGTGGGGTCTCGTATCTGATTCGTCGTGAGGAGGGATGAAAGATGAGGGCTCAATTATGAATGGGGGAGGGATGTAGGAGACACGAGTACGCGGTGGAGGAGGCGATATAAGGAGCAGGGGTAGAAACACGACCAGGATGAGAGAATTGGAGAGCCGGGGAGTACCAGGCAGGATTCGCATGATCAGCATCGCAAATCAAGGAGGGTTGCAGCCAACCCTCACCTCCAGGTCCGCTGCAATAGCACTGCCCGAGCTGGCTTGGTTCCTTTAGTCGCCTCAGCCGTCTCCTGTCATCTCAGCATCCAGCACGTTAGCTATATTTGTCATGCCTTCGCCCTGCGAAGAGTGGCAGACGATCTTGGACTTCGTCACCCAAGGTGGGGCGGAGATCACCGCGCTTCGCGCATCGCGGGCTGGGTCAGAGAGGCCCCCTTTCGCCAGGGCGCGAATATAGTCACGCGTCGCGCTTCGCGGGCGCGATGCGCGAAGTTGGATGTGATCTAGTTTGGACGACTTAGTTAAGAGGACGTAGTTTTGATGACCGATCCGTCACCAACTGCAGCCACAGTAGGGCGAGCATGGATTGAGACGGGCAGGTGAAGCCGTTCGCTTACATCGTGACAATCCCTTGCCAAAGCGCTGCCCGCTTGTTTTGCAGTACCTCCTCTCGGATGCCCTGGAACGATCCCAGCCTGGGATCGTTCCAGGCCGGGATCGTTCCGAGCACCCTCATGGCCATCCAACCTCATTCACCTCAAATCACGCCAGACACTCACTTCAACAGCTCGCTCCCTTACTGGAAGGTGGGCGCCATCAAATCGCAGAGGAGAGCGCGGCTCAAAGAAGAACGCACTGCATGAGCACATGCATTCGGAACTCCGCGCGGATTTTCTTGGATCGGCGTTGGGCCCCCCGGCCCCCCAGCGCGCGGAGCGCGCCAAAAGGGCGCCGCCTGGGGAGAGCCCGGCGCGAATTCCAGAAACCCGCTCTGAGCTCCGATAGTTTCTGTCTAAGGGTTGCCTCCTGGAAGGAGGTGGTTCGAGTCCCGTTTCGAGCATTGGCAAAAAAAAACTTCGTAGGAGGTGGTGGCCCTGTGGTCATGCAGCTCTCCTCTCTTTTTTTTGCCCATTCTGTGTGGGTCTTTGGCCGTGGATGTCAAAAAAAAGCTCCGATAGTTTCTGTCTAGGCCTCCCAGATGGGGTCGGAGTAGATGGGGTCGGATGGTCGCGCCGCATCGCCGAGGCATCGGCGATGCGGCTCGATGTGGGGCCCGATTTTCTCCACGTCGGCGCCGCCGATTCATCGCCGACATCGACGATGCGTCGCTGGTGCATCGTCGATACGTCGCCGATGCATCGTCAATGCATCGTGGATGCATCGGCGATCTGGCGCGATCCTCCGACCCCATCTACTCGGACCCCATGTGGAAGGCCTCTATTATGTGTGTTTCCAGGGCGGTCCTGGGGCGAGCCCGAGGAGTGCCCAGTAAGAAGGCGCGCGTCCCTGCTGCGGGCCGGCGGGTGCCCGCCTCGGTCCGCTGCGCGTGCGGGAGGCTGTTGCGGGAGGTGGGGGACCTGGGGTCAGGGTGCGAAAACACAAAGGTGCCACATCCCCGCCAGTACCCCCCTGTATAGTGGCCGTCTTGATCCTGAGATGAATTGAATGTCATGCTTGATCTGGATTCATTATTCGCCTGTGTGCAGGGGTTGCCGCGTGCTGGTATGAACTGTGCGTTGTTGGTGAGCTTGATGGCCAGTGCAGTTCCTCTCTCCCCAGTTGAGAGGCGTGTGGCCACCAGACGCTGCCTGCATCGCTGGGGACCTCGCCCCCTCGGGTCCCCAGGTCTGAGCGGGGGTGCGTGAGAGGAAGACGAATAATAATAATAATAATAATAATAATAATCATAATCATAATCATAATAATAATAATCATAATCATAGTAATTATAATAATAATAATAATAATCATAATCATAATCATAATAATAATAATAATAATAATAATAATAATAATAATATTAATATGAATACTAATAGTAACAATACTAATAACATAATAGTACTGATCATAATAAGAACAAGAAACATCATAATACTTGCAATACTGAGAACAAGAAGCGAGAAGGGGTGCATCTCCCCCTAGCCCCCCCCGCCGTACCTGCCCTGATGCGGCAGCCCGCGCGTCTGCTCATCAGCCCCTGGGCCCGCAGGCCACAAAGGACACTGGCACAGCGTCTGAACATTTTTTGTGTACATGAGTCTGGTCGGCTCCAGTGAGGACCCGCCAGGGGGACCTTCTTGGGTGCCGCGTACTCCGTTCGACTCCAGTCCGAGTCCGACTCTGGGTCGACTCTAGTCTGTTTCTGGCTCGACGCAAGTTCGACTCAAGTTCGACTCAAGGCGATGGGCGTTCGACGCAGTATTGACGCATGAGTGGAGCGAGTGGCTCCAGAAAGGTCCCCAGAGCGAGCATCAAACTTTCCAAGTGCCGACGACACCAGAAAACCGCCGAGGACGGCTGCGAGAGACGGCGACGGCGTAGAGTTCGGGCGGGCCCCAGAGGTACCCGTGGCGGTCCCCACCTCTTGGGTTCCCGCGGAGCTCCCCAGAGGCTTTCAAAGAGTCCCCAGGAGGCCCCCAGGACGCCCGAGCGAATCCTGAAGATTCTACAAAGACGGCGACGGCGACTGCGAGCAACGACGACGACGGCGACGACGACGGTGGTGACGACGACTGCGACAATGGCGGCAATTGCGAGCGACGACGACCTGCTTGCAGGGGCTGCTCCTCCTGGCGCCGCTGGCGAAGCAGCCGCTGTCCATCCGGCTGAAGGGCGTTACCAACGGTCCGCCCTGGCCCGTCGAGTCCGTCTCGCCGGGAAGCACGTGACTGGGTTCAGCTCAATTGGGATTCAGCCAGAGCGTCGGATCCTTCAGGATCCTGCAAAACTGATCTTGGCTGAGCCGGGTTTGGGAGCTGCTCGTGGCCTTGGGGGTTCGGCCGCACATATTTGCTTAGCCGGTCTCGGGACGCCCTCCTGAAGACTTTGCTGGGCCAAACTTAGCTGGGCCAGGTTAGCGTTAAGGCGGGTTAGTTCACGCCGCTGGGGCGCGGGTATTTCCGACATTTGAAAGCTGCCCAGGGTCGACCCGGCGAGCCCAGGAGGGTTCTGGGCACTGATCTTGATCGCATTCTGGTCAGATTTTGGTCGAGTTGGGACTCGAGGTAATGGAGGTAGACAGTTTAAAAGCACCCGCCCCTGTGGGGGTCGCCTTCCCTTTACGTGGGTCAGACGACTGAAATCTGAAGGGGCGAAACAGTTTTTGTTCATTGTCATCCCCCTCACCACGGCCGTTTTTTCCCAACCATGCGGTGGTGTTGGGTCCTCGTTGTGAAGAGAAAGCGCCTCGCGCCCCACCTCCTCTCTTCTCCTCTCCTCTCTTCCTCTTCCCCTCCGCCTGCCCTTTCCCCTCCTTCCCCACTTCGGCAAACCCCTCACATGTTCCGTGGCCCCATAGGGAGGTCCACCAAAGGCCCAGATGCCACCGTGGGTCCAGGTCCACCGTCAAGGCGTTGGGTGCGCCCCTTACAGGGCCGCTGCATCCATCGAGGGCGCGGAGCTGTTGGGCCTGCTCATACTGCTCAAGCACTCTTTGCCGCCGAGTCGTCATCAAGTGGCTGCGTTCGATGCCTCGTTCGTCACCAAGGGGCTGTTCGAGCGCGGGCGTGCTGCCACAACCATGTCGACGGCGGCCTGGGGTATCTCTGTGGCGCAGGGTCTGGCAGGAGCTCGACGATTTTGGAGGCTTGTGCGACCAAGCCCTCACATTAAAGAAGATCAAGGGCCACGCCACCATGGACGGCGTGCTGAGCAACAAGATCACCAGGCGTGACAGGCGTGGCAACATGGAGGCGGACAGGTGTGCCAAGGACGTGGCGCAGGTCTTCCGCTCTCCTGCTGACGTCAGGGTGGATCGTCGGGTCAGGGCGCTCACTCTTGATGGAGTTCCCCGCTGGATCGGCACCGCTGGCGAGGAATCGGCCCAGCTCCGCCAGGACTTCGACGACGGCGACAAGGAGTGCAAGAAGGTCCCGCCCCTGTCACTCACAAGGCACGAGGCCATCAAGATCGCCTCCGATGGGGTCCATTGCGTCGAGTGCCTCAGGTCGGCCTGGGCTCTAATAATGGCCACGCCTGCAACGCGAAGGCCCTCGCGCCCGATGCCCCTGCGGCTCCACGCGCAGGAGACCAGCGTCGGCCATGCCCGTGGCCGAGGCGGCCGCAGCCGCCCTGACCTCCGCGAGCGGGGCGGAGGCTGGGAGCGGCAGCGGCTGCCCCGTTGCGGAGGCTGGCGACGGTGATGGCGAGGCCGCGGCGGACGTTGCCTCGGGGCCTGGTTCGTTGGGCGTCGCGAGCGAGCACGACCTCCACACCATCAGCGGGTGCCGCGTGTGCAGGAGGTGCCACTGCTGCGCGAGGGAGATCAAGGGCATGCACAGGGTGCTGGCTGGCCGGTGCCAACCCGCGGCGGGCGAGGCGCGCCGAGCCAGGCTGAGGAAGGTTCGAGCTGATCAGGGCTGGCCCTGACCTGGAGCCGGGTAGACAGCAGAGGAGCCTCACTTCCTCCTGACAGCTGTCTTCTGCGGTGCTGCAGGCCCTCAGCGCCATTTTGGCGAGGACGTGTGTGGCCCCGCATGTGTGCGGGCAGCCCAAGATGGGCGCCCTGCGGCGAGCTCCACCGAAGGCCACCATGCCAGCGCCCGCATGCGCCCATTTTGGCGCGCCCCTCACGCGCTTCGTGGCCCCAAAGGGAGCTCCGCCGAATGCCCACATGCCAGCGCTCGCATGCGCCCGCCGCACCCATTGCGCCACGCCACTTAAACGCTTCGTGGCCCCATTGGGAGCGCCCGCCCCGCCCATTGTGGCACACCCATCACACGTGTTGTGGCCCCATAGGGGGCGCCACCAAAGGCCCAGATGCCAGCGCTCGCATGCGCTCACCGCACCCACGTGTGCACACCCCGAGCACGTTTTTCGTGGCCCCATAGGGAGCTCCACCGAAGGCCCACATTCCAGCGCTCGCGTGCGCCCACCGCGCCAAATTTCCGGACACCCCCTGCTTCGTGGCCCCATGGGGGAGCTCCGCCGGGGGCCCCGCATGCCGGCGCTCGCATGCGCCCAACCCGCCCATTGTGGCACTCCTCCTCCTCCTCCTCCTCCTCCTCCTCCTCCTCCTCCTCCTCCTCCTCCTCTTCCCTCCTCCTCCTCCCCCTCTCTCCTCCTCTCCTCCTCCTCCTCCTCCTCTTCCCTCCTCCTCCTCCCCCTCTCACACGTCTCGTGGCCCCCGTGGGGGAGCTCCACCGAATGCCCACATGCCAGCGTTCGCACGCGCCCACCGCACCCATCTGGGCACACTAGGGGGCCACATGCGAACCCTACCCCTACCCCCCACGACTTCTGAGGGGGAGGGTGGGGTTCACTTTGTTCGGGAGCTCCCGAGCGAAGTGAACCCCACCCTCTCCCTCAGAAGTCGTGGGGGGGGGTAGGGGTAGGGTTCGCATGTGGCCCCCTACACACCCTTCACACGTTTCGTGGTCCGTCCCATTGGGAGCGAATGGAATGGTGGCGACTGGTGAGGCCGCCTTCTTCGCCTTTCCCTGCGATGGCCTCGACCAGCGGACCTCATGTCAGAAGACCTTGGGCAGACGCACCATGAAATCGACTCGTGTCTAGGGAGCCACCGGCCTCGGTGGTTGGGACGCGCGCTTGTCGGGCGCGACCGACGAGACTTTCTCGTTGACCAGAGGCTGGGGGATGTCAAACGCGGACGCCCGCTCCACCGCTCTTCTGCGGCCCCGCCCTGTGCCCGTCTGCCCTGCGTCGATCGGTGCCCTCCGCCCTGCCACTTCTCCGTGGCTCAGTCCGACCTCTCCAACTCGATGCGCTTCGACTTCGATCCATCCCGATCCCGATGCGGCGTCCGATTCAGGTCTACTTCGGCTTAGCTCTGGGCTCCAGCTCCTCCTTGGAGGCCTTACATGGGCCTGCCCATCTCCGCCGGATCCGACTCTTTCCGACTTGGCCGCCGATTGCCGCCGACCCGATTCTTTTCGATCGCCGGTCCGACGTATCGATCCGAGTCCTGGCTCTCCTGGGGAGGGCGCGCACGATCGAACCATGGCCACGCGAACGCGTGTCCAGTCAAGACTCTGAGCCTCTCCTGCCGCCCCGCTGCGCCGCGCCCCCTGGCCGCCCGGTGCTGCCGCTCCTCTGCCGCCCTCTCCTGCCCCGGCCGTGCCCCTTCTGCCCCGTGTGTACCGTGCGCGCGCTCTGGAACATCGGCGCCGACGCTCGTTGTCGGCACGTGCGCGCGCAAGTGTCGGAGGGCACCATCTATACACCAACACCGATCCTGGCCCAGGATCACCCTGGGCCCAGGATCGGTGTATATGCCTTCTTGCGCAAGGCAGGAGGGCGTATACACCGATCCTGGGTCCAGGGTGATCCTGGCCAGGATCGGTGTTGGTGTATAGTTGGTGCCTTCCTAAGGTGCAGATCTGCGTCATGAGCGCGGCGCGGTTTTGCAGTTTGGCGCTGGACCGCGCAGGTGGGCCCGACGTCTCGTGTGACACCTTCCGGACAGCCACGTTACCGCTGCTGGCCAAGTTCGGCATCAGCGAGCAGCTCGTATTCAAGATTCAGAAGAGGGGAAGGGCACGAACGGGTCAAGCGTTGTGTGCTGTAAGGGTGACTTTCTGACCTCTGCCGTAGTAATTGGCTCCCCATTTCGGTTTATAGGCGGGTTGGGACAGCGATGGTGCTCGGTCGTTTGTGAGTTAGGAGGTCAGAGCTACTGGGGCCTGTCAGGAGGCCTCTTGGGAGCCTTCTGGGGGGCCTTTTATGGCCTCTCGTGGTCACCTGGGGGGCCGCTTGGGCCTCTTGGGGGCCCTTTGGGGCGGAGGGCTCCAAGCCTCAATTCGAGTAACCCCTCTTGAGACGAAGGGCGAAAAGTCACGGGTGCAAGCGCAGCACAAATTCTTCCCCAAGGGATCAGGGCGATTTTTGTTTCTTGGAGCTCTCTTAAGAGGGCTCTTGGAGGCCTCTCGTCTGGAGGCCATCTGGAGCGTCTTGATCGCTCGGCGACTCGGGGCCGTCTTGGACCGTGTGAAAGGCCTCCAGGGGCCCTCTTGGCCCGCCTTGGGGGCTTCTCGGGGCACTCGGGGACTGTCTTGGGCCCTCCAGGGGCGCTCCGGACCCAGCTGGATCCGCCGCGGCCCGTCCGAATCAAGCCAGACTTGTTGTGTATGTGTATATGTATTCATTGTATTGGTACAGCTATATTGATGGGCAGAGAGAAGCATCGAGAAGACAGGAATATTAGAGAGACGGAGAGACAGTTATGGAGATCTATATTTGTATATATATATATATATGCAGAGAGAGAGGGACAAACAAAAAGACAATGATATGCAAGGGCTTGCAGAGACGTGTGAGTTTGTGGACGAAGGGTCTGATCATCTCGATGCTGTGTTCTCGCTTCGCGGTGTTCTGGACGGGGGGCTCCGTCTCGGTCTGGCACTCGGATGCATTCTGCGCAGTGACGTTGCAGATCCTGCCAGCAGTGCGAGAGAGTGCGTCATGACGCGACGAGGCCCAGGACAGGTGGAGGTCCCCGCGATGGCCCCCCAGAGGTCTTCGCGGCGGTCCTCAGACCGGGAGGCCGCCAGAGGCCCCCAGAGGCTTCGAGAGTCCTCGAGCCGCCCCCGAAGCGCCCGAAATTGGCGACGACGGCGACGTAGGAAGCAGGACTGCGACGGCGACGGCTGCAACCGCTGGCGGGCTGCGAGGCGTGGTGCTCCTCCGCTTGGCGGTGGTGAGGTAGTTTTCAGCTGCCCCACGCTGAAGGGCATACAGCCTCTGGAGCTCCTGGACGAGGGGAAGGCCGTTGGGGCCCAGACCACAGACCTTCTCATGCCCTTCGGTGGATCGACTCTTTCCTCGGCGGCGCGCCGAAGGGGGGGGGGGGGGGAAGGTCGAGGGGGGCTCGCAGAGGCCCCCCCTGGCATTCCAAAGACTGCCTCGTAAGCCCTCTCCGAGGCCACACGGCCCTTCTCAGAAGCGCCCCCCGGCCGTCTGACAAGGCCCGCCTCCTCTCGCTTCCCCCTCGTTGTGCCGCCGATTCGCAGACCTCTGGCGGATCGACTCTGTCAATCCCGGTGCTCTCTGATTTTCCAGGGGCAATGATAGGGAGGGCCAGACTCAGGGGGCAACGTATCGACCCCTAATCGCCCACAGATCGCCGAGAGGGGCACGATAGCCCCAAACCGCACATGAACGCGCGGAGTTGCCATCGGGGGCCTGTCGCCGATATCGGAGACGTATCGCCGATTCCAGGTCGATGCTTGTGACTCTGACATCCTGGGACATGCCAACAAAAACTTTCCCCCCTGTGCCGCCGCCCCCCCACCCCTCCGACCGTTGCCGCTCTCTGGACTCACCCTCGATCTGCCGAGGCGGGGGGCCGGCTCCGGGCCCGGCGGGCATCAAAACAAGGCTGCGTCAGGGACGGGCCGATGCCCGCAGTGCGAGCCCCGCGGGATGGGGTGCATATTCGCGTCGCCAGTGTTCTGTGCTTGGCTCCGTGGCGCAGTCACGACGGCTGGCTTTTCCGATTTCCGTGCGCCGTCGAGGGGCGGCTTGGGGGCATGGAGGAGGAGGATGAGGAGGAGGAGGAGGAAGATGACGAGGAGGAGGAAGAGGATGATAAGGAAGAGGAGGAGGAGGAGGAGGAGAAGAGGGGAAGAGGGATGAGGCGGGAATGGGGCAGCGGACGGGCATCCCGTCTTCCTCCTCCCTCTTCCCCGCCCAGGAGCAGGGGAAGAGGGAGGAGGAGGCGGGAATAGGAGTGGGAATGGAAGTGGGTTACGTGTTTTAGATATTTAGTCCTTACGCTGCGAGCGAGCCAGCCAGCCAGGAGGGGGTGGAGGACGGAGAGGAGGACGGCGAGGGGCCAGTGCCAGGTCACAGGGGAAGGGCAGCAGAGGGGGCAGACTTATACTGGTTCTCCTCCCCTACTCCGCATCCTCGTCGTCCCTACTCCTCCTCGCCCTCCTCCTCATCCTCGCCCTCCTCCTCATCCTCTTCGTGTCCTCCTTTTCGTTTTCCTGCTCCTCCTCGTTTTCATCCTCCTCCGGGATCGGGCGCAGAGTTTCCACCCCCCGACCTTCTACGGTGCAGCTGGTTAGGGGTCACGAGCAGTCCCAGCTTGGAAGGGGTGGTCTCCGAAACGAGGAGGTCTGCGTTCGCGACCGCTTCGGAAGGGTTGTGAGCCACCTTTACGAAGCGTCGCCGTCGACGTCGACGCTGCGCACTGCCAGCTTATCCTGCTGGCGTTTCTCCGACGCTCGCTCCCCAACCGGCGGGTTCAGCAGGGATGCCCGTGTGTTCCACGCGCCTGTCGGGTATAGCCAGTACCCCAGGTAAGGGGACTCGGTTAGTGGTAGGGCCTCGGAACCCCTAAATTGGCCGGAATCACTAAACCGGGTCTGTCGTGCTTTTTCGGGTGGCGGCAGTTCCTGTTAGGGGAACGGTGCGGGGGGGCGTCCCCCAGTACACATCACTAACCCAGGTCCCACTAAACCCAGTTCTGCCAACGTCCGAGCCTGGACTCTTCACCCTGGAACGCTCTTCGTTCAGGGTATCTCCGTGGGGCCTCAGACCCGTGGCAAACGGGCAGATGTTTTTGATCCACGCTCTCGTGGACCATGCAGAGTCGTTCACACATCGTGGGATGACCGAGCTTCACGGGTGCATTTAGAGGGCTACCCGTAGCAAGTTTAAGTCAGCAGTATTCGGTGTATGATTCACGTCGTAAGAAGTTCTGGCGCCAACGTTACACCATGACGGTGGCAGCTGTTGTCCTTCGTAGGTGAATTGCACGCTCAGAGCACCTCCAGGTCCCATTTGCAGCAGCTGAAGCCGGCCCCGACATGGGTGCTCGGGAATTTGTAGCTGCTACCTGATGGTTGTGAAGGGCCCCGCGCCTCAACCCAGTTTCCAGTAATCTCCCGACCACTGACGCCTCTTCATATTTCAGCAGCATTGAGCGAGTGTCTCGGGCATTGCTGGGTTCAAGATGTCATGGCGGCGGTTGATGCCAGAGTCGAAGAGGCAGTTGCCGATTAAAAGAAATCCCCACCTGGTGGCGCGACGCACAGACAGCAGCAATCCCACCTGCGCGCCGTGACGATCCCATGGGTGGCCTCCCCATGCACTTGAGACCCATCGACGACGCAGATGTCACAAGGGACGAGCCGGCACCAGGAAAGATCACGCGAATGCAGAAGACGTTGGGGGGCGCATTCAATGGGGTGTGGAGCGCCTGGGTCAACATCAAGTCTGTCCCCTGGCGGAACACGGTACAGCAGTGCGACGACTTTCTCCATGCATGGAGCAAAGTGGGATACGACGCCTACAAGATGGACAGAGAATACCAGCTCCACGTCGACTGGCCAAACGTCATGGAGAAGCAACGCAGGCACACGCAGCGCGACACCAGAGTACGCGCAGTTGACGCACCCATCGGAAGCGGACGCTCACATCCGTGGACGGACGACCGCCGTGGGCCTCCGAAGGCAGAGCTGCCACACGGACAGGTGCATCTGGATCGGCAGCACCCTGGCGTACCTGGCAGTCCTGGGACGAGTGAGAACATCAGCGAGACACATGGACTGACACGGACTGGAAGGCCAAGGGGAAGCGGTCCTCCCCCATAGGAGAAACCCGCTACGCGGACAAGCGTCAGCGGGGGTGGGACTTCTGCCCCAAGTGATCGAGACAGGGCCTTCCCGCGGGCGCCCGCCCCCCCCCACCCCGGCAGAGGGGGGTTGGCCCGCCCGGTCAGGGACCCGTCGCTGTGCGTGCTACACGCCTCCCCCCACCTGCTCGTCTGGTCCTTCCCCTGCTTCAAGTGGAGGATGGTCCGCGCAACCTGTCTGCGGCTCAAGCCTTTCTTCCACCCGATCATGTCGATTATCAGAGTTGCCACTCGGCCCGTCATGGAGCGCAGCGCTTGCTTTTTGGACAATGACGACCTTGGGCAACTGGGAACAGCCTCCCCCTCCCTCTACAATGTGGTCTCCATCGCGCTGACCCTGTGGGCAATCTGGGACCCACCGTTCCGGGCGGAGCCCGCTGGGTCGGCAGCCCAGCGGTCCTCAACCGGCCCTTTGCTGCGCACAGCGATGCAGGGGAGAGGGGCTGAGGAACGTGATGTGTCAGTCCCCCACGGTCCAGCTTCCCTCGCGGCTGCTCCCGACCTGGACGGGGGCTGGTTTCACCGCAGTGCCAGGCCTCGGCCTTAATACCCCCGTGCCACCTCTTACGGGGCAGAGGTGCACCAATACCCATGCGTTGCGCACTAGACAGCCCACGCCGGTCTCGTGGGACCCTTCTGAACGGTGGATGGTGGCTGAAATAACCCACCCCCCGTGCCCCCCCTTGGCCTGGATCCCACAGGACAAGGATCCGTTCATGTTCCCCCCCTGGGACACCTACTTTGGATGACTGGGGGTGCTGGCCATAGGCCCACCCCGCGCGCTCCACCTGACTTTAACGCTCTGCACCTCACGTGCTTCCCCCCGACGATGCTGCCCTGGAGCAGTGACAGCGCGGCCCCCCGCAGTGGTCAGGCGCTCTGTTTCCCCCGCGGTCGCTGAGGACCCGCCGCAGCGCACGGTGGAGGGATCACAGAGGCCAAAGTTCTCGCAGGGTCAGCATTGGCGTCGCCCCTCCCCCTCCTCCATTTATTCACTGGATTGTGCGGCTATCGGCTGCGTCTCCCCCTCTCCTCCTCCTCTCTTGCTGATACGGCGCCGCGCGATTTCCCCCCTACCGAGGCTCCTCTGGAGCACTCGGACTTACTTGCCACCTGGAGGCTCACTGGCAGAGCTCCGAGATGCGGTCGGGCCGCGAGGCTGCCAGGTGTTGTTTCGGACAACTCGGGCCGTCTGCAGTCCGCCCCCGTTGGTGCGACTCCTGCCACTGGAGCGGGCGCGGTTCGCCCACGTGGTCTGGGCGCGATTCACGGCGCCTGGTCCCGGGCTACGGCTGGGCGCAGCCTGGCGCGCCACCCCGCCCCGGCACCGCCTGGGGCCGGACCTGGGGAGGGTGCGGACCCGACAAGTGGTACACCCTTTGCTCGACTGCCGACGATCTCCCATATGGTCCGCCCCTGCTTCCCCGGTTGACGCTCGCCGCTTTGTTCCCCCGTCCATCGTGATGGATAAGCTGCCCGCGTTGTTCGCCGATGACTTGGTCCGCCTCTCTCGGCGGGAGCCACCTTCGAGCTCCTGATACTGCACAAGTGGTTCATCCTTTGGCAGTGTTCCGGCCCCCCCGCAGGGTGGTCCGCGGTGCTCGGCCATGCCTGCGGCTGCCTCCCCCCCGACCACCTGGGTCAGGCAGTCGCAGGTTTCGGATTCCGTGACTGGGTCGGCGTCTCCGCGCATAGGTCGGTCGCTTATGCCCGACCACGCCCAGGAGTCCAAGTGAGTGAGGCGTTCCTCGGCTTCCCCTCTTCTGCCCGCGCTCTCGCCCCCGCCGCCTTTCCTTGCTCTCTCGCCTCCTCGTCGTGTCTGACGGCGCGGCCTCACGGGGCCCCCGCGCTGCCACAGTGCAGCGTGACTCACGCCAGTACGCGCTGGTCAGTACGGTTCGAGCTGGCGCCACAGTGCGACTTCTCCTCCGTCTGTGTCAGTCTGATGCCTGCGTCCCCGCCCCTGGGTCGCCCGCATCTTAAGGGGGGGCATTTTGCCTCTTGCACGTGCACTTGTTGCGTCGGCCTATGCGCCGTCGCAGCCAATTATCTCGCCCTGCGCCCCAGCCGAGCCCGTCCCGCTTCTTGGATCTGTCCTTGGAGCTGTCAATCAAAAAAGTATCCCCACCAGGTGTGACTCGCCGCCGGCGCGCTCGCCCGCGGCCGCGAATGAAAAAGTATCTTCACCGGCCTCCGGCGACTTCCCGGTCCCGTTCTGAGTGCCGGTGCTTGGCCTGCTTCTGCTTGGCTAGTTAGCCCCTCGCGCGGC